AAATCATATGATTTTTTTTTTAATGATTGTCTACTGTTGTACTGATAAATATCTCCTGGAGGGTAAACTATATCTTGGCTGCAAGTATCAAGCTGAGAAATCCTTCGTTTTCTACAGCTGATAGCAGTTGGTCATTAATTATGATGAAGTTTAGCAACTTCTCTGTAAACATTTGAGCTCTGGGGCTTCAGCGATACTTCCACACAGCGGACATGTTCAATGAAAAGTTGTTTAGCTGTTAGCCACAGTGCTGCTAACTCTGCCCTCACGTTGTAGCTGGCTGCAAACTATGAAATGGATTTCATGAATGTGAGGTGGGTCTTATTACTCTGGGCTCATGAGACACGCCTCCATTAAGAAAATCCATTCCATAGTTTGAAGCCAACATACATCATGCATCAGAAATATTGGCAGGTTGGATCGGAAAAATCTGATACGTAAATTATGCTGGTATCAGAGGCCAATAACGATACTGGATCGGATCGGCCCCATCCCTAATTATATTTGTGCTAGGCTACTTTCATGACCTTGTCACAATCACAGCTGTAGCCTTGGCATGAGGCTAGCATGCTCAGTCCTGGATATGCTGCCATCTGGGGCCAAGATGGGGCAGACATAGGTAAGCTGATTCAGGACCCAGAAGTCCCAGGCTCGATCCCCCGCCATTCCCACATGTCGTGGTGTCTCTGAGCAAGACACCCAATCCCCAGGTGCTTACATAGCTGCCCACTGCTCCACCTGGGTGTATCCCAGGTGCAATGGGTTAAATGCAGAGAACCAATTTCATCATTGTATGGGAACATACAATGATGACAACACAACACTTTAATTGAGTTTAATTAAACTTGCCCACTCCACCCAGGACCTTGATAGGCTGCTACCACAATCTTCATTGTTTTGTGCAGAGTCAGTTAGGAGCCCCCATAATTCCTGATACATGCCTGAAAAATTTGCCAAGATCCTGCAAAGACCACCCAATTTGTGGCTGATTTTTATTTATTTATTTATTTTTAACTTTGTAGCAGTGTTGTCAGTAAAGGTGGCTGACACTGAGTAAGACACTTAACAAAAATATTTTGTTTAGATGATGAGGACATCTTTTAAACCACCTTACATTTACATATTTATTTTATAATAAACTATCCATTCATACACCCATCATCTTTACCTGCTTACGTTTTGGGTCATGGGGATTACTGGTGCCCATATACAGCAATCAATGTGTGAGAGGCAGGGGATGCCTTGGACAGGTCTCCAGTCCATCACAGGGACACATATGCCCCTTTTCTATTAGTACCGGTACGGGCCGACTGGACCCGACTTGGCCTGGTTCTGAGGATTTTCCATTAGTACCGGTACTTAGCACCTGCTACTATTTTCAGGACCCTTGGCTCTGTGGTTCTAACCCGAACAAAGAGGTACTAAAACGTGACGTCAGAACACAGTCGGTCACTGATTGGTCGGGGGCGGAGTCACTGGATCCTTCAGAAACTTTTCAAAACAATGATCTGCCATTTACAATTTCTCGGACTGGAGCAGCGGCTGGACTTATTTTAAATATTTTAAAAACAATAATGACAACATCTTGGTCTAATGCTGACGTGCTGGCATTTATTGTGAATGGTGGCTGACGACATATTTCTGCGAGCTGCAAGCTGGATGGAGCTCTGCTGGTCTACCCCAGTCCTCCCCCCGGAGCCTCGGAGCACCAGGGCATCATCTCCCCGGCTCCGAGTTCCGCTGGTCACCGCGAACGATCCTTCGTTGTGCCGACTCAGAGGCTCGGGTTCCGGATCCCAGCCTTGTGTGCTCAGAGCTCCGCTGGTCACTGCGAAGCTGGAGATGGTGACTCGCAAAAGGCCACTGCCAGACCCCGGCCGCACGTAAACATAGAGGCCGAATCCCGGTCCCGCCCGGCACACAGGCAGACTGGACAGACTGGGACGGATGGTGGAGGCGATTTTTAAATAAACAAATATTTTGTTTTATATAAAAAATGTTTTCAAAAATTGCTGAAGTGATTTAAAAAAATGTTTTTTTAACACTTAAAATGTTTATAAACATTGCTTCCACAGTTCGTCACAGACCCGTCTCTGTCCGGCTGTCAGTGCGGGTCGGGCCTTCATGATTACGTGAGGCTGGGGTCTGGCAACGGCCTTCTGCGAGTCACCAGCTGAGCTCGGAGCTGGGAAGATGACGCCTGCCCGTCCTGG